TCTCGCCTGCATCCGCAACCTCCTCCTCCCCCTCCCCCTAATCCTCCTCTGCATCCGCCTCCTCCTCCTCCTCCTCCTTCTCTCCTCCTCCTCCTCCTCCTCCTCCTCCTTCTCCTCTTCCTCCTCCTCCTCCTCCTTCTCCTCCTCCTCCTCATCCTCCTCCTCCTCCTCTGGTCTCTCTTATCCCCTATCTTGTCGTCCTCCTCCCCCTGCGCATCCTCCCATTTGTTTGTTTTCCCCCTCCCATTCGTCCCTTGTCACCCCCCTCCGCCCCTCGCAGTTCATTTTCTATCGCATCGGTCCTCGCATCTGCATCATCCCTCGTCAACCTCTCCTCCACATTCCAAGTCCTCCTCCTCCTCCTCCTCCTCGCAGGATGCAGGTATCCGCTTGCACGTCATTGTAAGCTTCCCTCGCCTCCTCATTGTCCTCGTCATCCTCCCTGTCCTTGTCCTCCGTATCTGACGGGCTCCAAGCAACACACATGGCGCAACAATGAGGATGCTGTGTCTGCCCCTTTCCGAGCAAGCGCGCGCCATACCCAAGCGTGCACGTACTTCAATTTTCTTTTGCCGTCCTGGCGCGGAGAGGAAGCCAGAAAGAACTCATGGAAACCCTAATGCCACCATGCCGCAGTCCATCATCACTTGGAGGTGGGGAGGTTCGGGTTTTTCTTGGAACTGCAAAAGGAATCCCGACATGTTTCTTTTGAATGGGGGGGCTGCTAGATGCCAGGGGATACAACAAAACCGACCCACTAACGCCCCACTCTAATTGGATTGGATGAAGGGGGCACCGCAGAATTGGAGAATAAAGACTTGCGACGTGCATTCCAATCATGAATACCACTTCGTGTGCGCTTGCAATTTCTCTAAATGCCCTGGGGAAATTCGGAATTGCGAACTGCCCACGACTCGGCAGCAACAAAAGGGGACGAATCCACACTTTCGTGACCTTCAAAACCGCTCGCGCATGCGCGGGCCAACTCGACAGTCCCCTCGGGCCGCGGTGGCATCGACGGGCTGACAGCAAACAGCTGCCACTGAACGCACAAGGAAAGATAGCTTCCAGGCGTCGACTAACTCAGGGTGGGTGGAGCCACCGACTCGTCAACATCTGAGAACACTGTTCGCCACCTTCGTGCATAAATATGTACGCCCCCTTTTGTCGTTTGCAAAATGCCAGCGCAAGAGTGACCTACGTAGTCACCCGTCGAAGTAGCTGCAATGATTTGTTCATTCGTTGAAGCATGGCGAACACATCATCCAAGTGGCGCGGATGTCCCCAAATACTTCCATTTCCCCCATCGAAATGTCAAAGGAGCTCTTCCGCCAGCTGGTATGAACGAACATTGTTTCACCGAATTGGCGGCCGAGAGTGTTCCTGCTGATTCGGCCTTCCAGAAACAAAGTCTGTGCTTGTACCCCGCGAGATTCGAAACTGATGACCTGGACATTCGCGGTCAGTCTCAGGAAAAAGTCAGGCTTTGTGACGTCCATGGATCCCAGCTGTGCATATACCTTATGGGCGTATACTCGGATGCACTTGGCGATCGGATAGTTTTTCCCTCTATTACCTTGCTGCTGCTCTAAACCCAGATAGTGCCCGAAACTTCCATCGGAAGGTTTTGCTTCACGCGCTCCCATTGCGTATGCGTGCGTGTCTGGGCTGTGCCCAAAACGACGTCACAACTAATAAGTAATTCGTCCGCATGCGGACTGGCGTAAAGATATTAAGCGGATGAGCGTCCTCTAATCAAAATACGGGTGGTAGTGATAAAACTGTCGTGGAACGCTGCGCCACTCCGATCATCAAGGCGATTCCTGTCACTATCTTGAACACGTCCCATTCAAAACCCAATGTCAATGCCTTCCTGTTCAACACTGTTTCGCAACAAGTCCGGAAAGATGAGTCTAGCACAGTGTGGTTGCAGTGATTTGGTACTTTGCCCCGGCAGGAACGATTCGATTGTCATCATCACGTCTGTGTGGGCTCTCGGGCTGGTGAGGTAGCGCGCACGTGGATGTTTGACATGCGCCAAGCGCTTGGGGCCAGACTTGAGCCAACATTACACTTCGAACATATACTGCACAACACTTCCTTAGTGTATCTCGCAACTGGTAGCACTTCAGAAGTTTACACCGCATTGCCCTCGAACTCATTGGCGCCGTGACTTCTACGAGAGAAGCTAATTACGCAATTGTCTGGTCTTCACCGCTCACGCCGCAAATCAAGACCCGCACAAAACGTGCAGAGTGCGCCGATCAAATGAAAAGGTGCTAGCTTCTAGATGCAACCAGCTCCGCTACCGATGCAGCGCTGATCTGGCTAACCCGCTCCTGCTTCCAGCGAACCAGCCGTAAGGCATTCTCAGAACGGACCCTGCTATGGAGCCGAAGCGACCGCGGGACGCCCCCTGGGAGGAAGAGATAATGAAATGTCATATGTACGTCCATGGCATAAACACACACGTAGATCAATCGCAGCAATCATCGAGTGAAAGTACCATAAAGGTCGGGTCCCCAGCTCTCAGACCCCTGGCATCCGACACACCTATGTGATTCCCTATGTGACCTTTCTAGAGCCTGTGCCGATCAACATCTCTTCCTGTGCTTAAATGAGACCACGGAACAACGGCTGAATACTTAATGTATTTGGTTCGGACCCGTGGAGCGTTGACACCCAATTTGGGTGAACTCCGCCGGCCAGAATGTTGTTCCAATGGGAAGCCGCAGTTGCTGCTGGAAGCACACGAATGTAGTATGAACAAAGTCTGTGGCTGGGCAACATACAGGGCCCGACGTGTTATCATGCTCAAATATAGGGAGGCCTCCGCAGCCAATACAGAGCAGGTGACATGCACCATGTGCAGAAGCGCGTTTCCGAACCAGTGCACAGAACTGTTTGACTCCAAAATGCGCGAGCCCAAATCGCTAAAACAGGGGGACGGGCCAGCACGAGACACTCATGCTTTCAGGAGGCACAGGTTCAACGATCGCCTTGATCGGCGATGACACAAACCACATGCATATACGTAGATGCTATCTCCATCTCGCTGCGATAACCCAGCCTGGCACAAACACTGGAGCTTCCGAAAGAAATCATTTGAGGGAGCAACCCTTGAATGATTATAAATCCCCGGCACGCGAGGGAGCGGGCCCAGAGATCCGACGTCCTGATTTTTTCCACACGGGGTCCCCGGAAGTCTCGACCCATTCCCCAGGACCGGCCTTTCGTCCCGAGTCGTTCTCTGACCGTCCCGGGGCCCGGCGAGGCCCGCTGGAGGCCGAACATCGAGAAAAACCTCCACCTTGAGAATCTCTGTCACCGCGTTGGAGGTCTGGGGGGGCCCTCAAACCACGCCCGGCCGTCCTCTGGGAGCCCAGCTGTCCTCCCCCCGAGGCCGGCGGCGGCGTTCGCACAGCGGCGCCCTGCCGTGTGGCGGAGGCCCTCGCCCGGCCGGCCCGCGGCTCCCCCGGGAGGCCACGCAGACAGCCCGCCCGAGGAGCGCGCGGTCGGTGCCCCAGGAGGATGAAGGGGCCCCAGGAGAGCCCAGGATCGGATCGACAAGTCGGATCGGCGATCGACATGAATCGGATCGTCGGAAATCGGCAGCCGAGTCGGGAAAAGTCGGATCGGCGGAAATCGGCAGGCTGGTGTGCCTCCAATAAGAAATCGGAACCCAAATCGGACTCCCAGATCGAATCGAATCGGAATCAGAAACCATCGAAATCGGATCGAATCGAATCGGAGGAATCGAAACGAGCCCTGGGGCCCTGGGACACACAAACAAATACACACAAATAAAAAGATTCCCCATATATTTCCCAATATTTTCTGGGTGACAGCCCGCCCGAGGCGCGCGCGCGGTGCCCCGGGAGGAGGCCCCCACTGGAGGAGGGCTCGCGCGGCCTGGGCCCGAGGAGGCGCCCGAGATGGAGTCGGGCAGGTGCCCCTGCAGTCGGGGCGTTGACCCAAGGAACCCTAAGTAAGGCACGAGGCCCCTTTTCTCCAGAAGTTGAACTTCGATTCCCGATCGAAAACATAAGGAAAACCTGAGGCAAGCTGTGAAACACCTGAGGAACGCGGAGCCCCTCCCCAACGAAAAGGGTTCCTTCTGCAGGGCCCCGGCTGTATAGAGGGGGGAGGCTCAGGAACAGTCAGGGCATGGCGTGGGGACGACGTTGCCGCTGCTTCTGGCCATGTCTGGGGGCCCTCTTTTGGCCCTGTCCTGCTTCATGTCCTTCAGAATCTCCCCCTATGCAGAAGGACGCGCCCGACCCGAGCCTGAGAGGGCCCGAAGTGCTCCCGACGGGGCCCCGAGCTGCCCCCCCCCCCTCCGGACCCCAAGACCCCCACAGGTGCAGCTGCCGATGCACCGCAGAGCGGTGGCCTGGCACCCGCACCCTGCCGCCGGGGCCTGCTCTGCACGGGCGGCGTGGTGGGCCTCCCTCGCGCCCGTGGCCTCGGTCGAGCTGCCGCGGGGGATCCAGGCACGCTCCCCTTCCAAAGTTCTCACACGGTCGGGGCGTTGACCCAAGGAACGATAAATAAGGAACGAGGCCCCTTTTCCCCATATGGTAAACTCCGATTTCCCTTTGAAAACCTCCGGAAAACCCAGAGGAGCACTGCAAAGCAGCTAAGGAGCACGGAGAGCCCTCTCCAGCAAAAAGGGCTCCTTCTTCAGGGCACCGACTGTGGCGGGTCTGACCTGCAGACCCCACTCGCAGACCCTCCTCCTCCCCCTCCTCCTCCTCCCCTCCCTCCTCCTCCTCCTCCTCCTCCTCTCTCCTCCTCCTCCTCCTCCCTCCTCCCCCCTCCCCCTCCCCCCTCCTCCTCCTCCTCCTCCTCCTCCTCCTCCCCCTCCCCCTCCTCCTCCCCCTCCTCCTCCTCCTCCACCCGGAAGCCCTGCGCGGGAGCTGCCACGGCTCCCCCGCTGGCTCCCCCCTCTCCGACGGCAGGAGCAGAGGAGGAAGGAAGGCTGGAGTTCAGCTCCGAGCAGGTCCTTGCCCGTCGCGTGCTCGAACTCGAGCGTGTTGAAATCGACCGTGGGCAAGCCTCGCGCCAGCGTCCCAACATCGGGCGAGTCATGAAAGGGCACGGCAGCACGCGTGAGATGCGGCCTGTGCTCTGTATGGCCTTCCCCTCCGAATGCCACCTGATCCAACATGGTCTAACGACGGCCCTGAGTGGAAACGCACCTAACTTGGCGGCGCGCACAAGGGGGTGGGGGGAGGGCTTCTTAGAAGCAGGCTGCTTCTTAGAAGGCGCCGGCCTTACATCTATAGATAAGGCCCGCGCCTTCTAAGAAGCAGGGGTGCTTCTAAGAAGCCCCCCCCCCCCTCCCCCCACCCCCCTGTTCGCGTGGCTGACTGACCTTTTCACAATCGGGCGCCCGCCTAAAAACAAACACCTCCGAAAGCTGCAGGCCGAGCCCCACCGCGGTGTGGCGACCACCTCGCCCCCGGTGGCCAGCGAGACACGCCCGCCCAACGGTGCTGACACGACGCGCTCCACAACTCCCTCGACGCCTTCGCCTCCGCCTCCGCCTCCGCCCCCTTCTGCTCCCCCTCCCAGTCCTCCTCCTCCTCCTCCTCCTCCTCCTCCTCCTTCTCCTCCTCCTCCTCCCTTTCTCCTCCCCCTCCCCTCTCCATCCCTGCATCCCTGCTCCACCTCCGCCCCCGCTGCAACCCGGCAAGCAGCGGATCCTCACGTGACCGGCCAGCGTCCGGCGCCGGCACGCAGGCGCGCGCACGAGGAGGACGACGCTGGCACGGAGAGGGCTCACGAGCCCGCGAACGTATCCACGTCCGCGCCCTGGCGGTCCTGCGTTCTGGGGCGCGATCCCGTGTGCATCGCATGGAAAGCGTTCCGAGCGGGGCACCTGCGAACAAGCCGCCCCGTATCCACCTGGGTACGGACGTGCTTGCCGGCCGACGAAGGGCACCAGCCCGACCGACTGCACGTGAGAGCGACCCCGGGCAAGAGTGACCTTGCGCGCGCGACTTAACGGGGGACGCGGGGTGGCCACTCCGGGGCGCGCAAGCCGCTGCTACCTTCTGCGGAAAATCCTGGAGGCCTTGCGCGGCAACGCGCTAATCCATTCACGTCGTGCTCGCATCGTGTCTACGTCGTCCTCCTGCCCGTCCTCCTCCCCCTTCCCTGGCCCCCCTTCTCTCCGCTCCTCCTCCCCCCTCCTCCTCCTCCCGCCCCCCTGCCGGTCCTCTTCCACATCCTCCTCCATTCTCGCCCAGCGGGCACTCCATCGGAAAAGCAGCGGTCGGGGGTCGGCGGCGACGATAGGGGCGAACAGCCCAGAGGCGGGCATTACGCGTGTTCGCCCGGGAGTCTTTTCGAAGACACGGATCATCGGCGCACCTGAACACATGTATTGCTCTACCCTGGGCTATTCGCCCCGATCGTCGCCTCTGAGGGGGACCCCTCTCGGACTCACACCCAGAGGTCACTGCGGCGAAGGAGCGCTCCCACCGTCTGGTCGGCCCGAGCGCGGGAACGGACGGCTGCACAAGCGCAGGGTCACGTGTGGCGTCCCGGCCCGCGGGTCCTCCTCCTCCTCCTCCCCCTCCTCCTCCTCCTCCTCCTCCTCCTCCTCCTCCTCCTCCTCCTCCTCCTCCTCCTCCTGCTCCTCCTCCTCCTGCTCCTCCTCCTCTTCCTCCCCCTCCTCCTCGTCCTCCTCCTCCACTTTGTCTTGGCTGCTATAGGGCCTCGTGGCCTCGCCTGGAGCCGGCATCCACCGGGATCTGGGCCCAGATCAAATTGGCGGAGGCACTTACCAGGGCTGGGCCTGAGCGTTGCTGTTCCTTTCTTGGTTTCGTTATGTTTTCTATTTTGCCCCACCTGCTTTCCTGTACCTCCCTCCCAAAACGAGAAAACAAAACACAGCCGACGTCCAGCACAACAGCGTTTAGGTCCAGCCTCGGCACTCTCTTCCCCACATCCCAAGTGGGGTTCTTGCTTTCTCTGGCCACCCCGCGCAGGAGCACACACCCATCACCATCACGAGCTCTTGCTCCCAACATCCAAAGTGGGGCTCTTGTTATCTCGCCACACCCTCCGCGCAGGATCTCCTCTCTTCCCCCTCTCTCCCTCACTTATCGCACATCCTAAATGGGTTATTGTTCTCCACATCCTGAGTGGGGTTCTTGTTTTCTGTGCACACCCCCCGCGCAGGATCTCTCCTACCCCCCTCTTCTCCTCACCATCACTATCACCATCAGCATCACATAATCACCACCACTAGCACCACCATTGCCATCACCATCACCATCCCAATCATCGTCATCATCATCGCAACCATCAAAACAGCGAGATCACCATTCTTATCATCATCATCGCCATCATCATCATCATCATCATCATCATCATCATCATCAGCAGCATCATCATCATGGCCATCATAATCATCATCATCATCATCATCATCATCATCATCATCATCATCAGCATCATCATCATCATCATCACCATCACCATCATTACCATCACCAACCCCTCACTCACTCGCCCGTTCCCTCGCCACACCTCACTCAATCACTCATTCACCCACCCACTCACACGCCACCACGCCAGGATCACCATCATCACCATCATCACCATCATCATCATCATCATCATCATCATCATCATCACCATCACCATCACCATCACCATCATCATCATCATCATCATCATCATCATCAGCATCGCCATCACCCTCATCATCAATATACTTATCTTTTCACAAGCATAGACTTTGAGCACACCTGATAGTTGAATCATGAGGATGTCTCGAGCGGGGGCCTCATCTGTGAGCGAATGACAAGGAAGTTTCCGAACGGAGCCCCCTCCCGATGGGGTGGGCAATTCATGTTCGAATCCAAACGGTCATCGGCGTACCATGGCTGGCATAGGACCCGAACACCCCTACGAGGCGAATCGTGATGATGTCTCGGACGGCTTCGTCTGTGAGTGAATGGCCAAGAAACCTCCAGCGGGAGTTTCCCCCCGATGGGGTCCGCACTTCACGATCGAACCCCAAGCGGTCATCGGCCTACCGTAACAGGCGTAGCACTCGAGCGACCCGAAGAAGCGAATCGTGACAATGTCTCGACAAAGGGCCTCGTCCGTGAGTGAATGGCGGGGAAGTCTCGAGCAAGAATCCCCTCCGTATGGGGTCCGCACTGTCGTCGGCCTACCATAGCAAGAATAGCATGTGAACACACCGAGGAAGTAAATCGTCGGGATGTCTCGAGAGGGCGGCTTCATTTGTGAGTGAATGGCGAAGAAAGCTGGAGCGGGAACCCCGCCCCTATGGGACGAATCCCGGGCGGCCATCGGCCAACCATGACACGCATAGCGCTTCAGCGCCCCGAGGATTTGAATCGTGAGGGTGTCTTGGGCGGGGGCCTCGTCAGTGAGTGAACGGCGGGGACGTCTCCAGCGGGAGCCCTTTCCCTTTGGGGTCCGCACTTCACTCTCGAAGCCCAGGCGATCATCCGCCGACCATCGCAGGCGTAGCATTCGAGCACCCCTCGGAGGCGAACCGAGAATGTCGCGAGCGAGGGCCTCATTTGCGGGTGAATCGTGAGGATGTCTCGAGCGGGAATCCGAGGCGGGGCATCGGCCTGCTAGAGCAGGCGCAATACTTCGGCACCCCGAGGAGCCTCGTCTGTGACTGCACCGCGACGACGGCTCAGGCGGGAACCCCCTTGTCTATGGGGCCCGCTCATCATTCTATTCATCCGAGCGGGCCGTCGGAACCCTGTAACTGTCATCATTGTGGCCTTTTCGGGCTCGAACATGAAGGAAGTCCTTCCGCCACGCGTATGCGGAGCATGCCGATCCTCCGCCGGCGCGAGAACTACTGAGCGCAGGCCGCTGACGTCTTTGCGGGAGGCGCTGAGGAAGTTCGACAAGACAGTGGTGAGCTCCAGGGCTGAGGCGGAGCAGCTCGCGGCAGAGCTGGGTTTCGCGCTGCCCCCGGCCTGTGCGCGGCCGCGAGTAGCTCGAGGCCTGCGGGAATGTCCCAACGGCTTGCTCCCGCACCCCCGTCGGCTCGAGGCTTGTCCCAGCAGCCTGGTCCGCGAAGTTGTCCCAACTCGCATCTGGCCATCGGAGAACGCACCCCTGCCAGCCGCGGCGGTGACGGCGCCAAGGAAAATTGACTTGCGTGCCCTGGCCAGAGGGAAGGAGAGGCGCACGAGGAGAAGCGCGACCTGCAGGGCTCGCAGGTCCCACAGGTCCTGCACGCCCCCGCAGGCCAAGCAAGCCCCCCGGGTCCAACAGGTCCCATAAGTCGCACAGGTCCTGCAGGCCGCACGGGGGCCACAGGTCTCGCAGGTCTCACAAGTACCACAGGCCCCACAGGTAGGGGAATGGCCACGCAGGTCGCACAGGTCCCACAAGTCTTCCTTGTCCCACAAGCCCCGCAGGTCTCAAAGCCTCCACGAATCTGACGGGCCCCACAGGTCCCAACGGCCCATCAAGTCGCATCCTGGTATCCTGGCATCACAGCATTATCACCATCGCTCGTAGTCGATGATGGCGACTCTCATGCGCAAGAAAATTGCTATCATGTGGGGTCTTTCCGTCGGAGTCCTGTTGTTTTGTGTTTTTGTTGCTGTGTTTGTTGCTGTCTCTCGCTCTCTCTCTCTCTCTCTCTCCCTCGTTTTTTTGTGTGTGTGTGTTTTTTTTTTTTTCTCTCTCTCTCTCTCTCTATCTCTCTCTCCCTCTCCCGAGGCACTCGCACGCGCAGGCATACGACCAAGCGAGAAGCACACGCGTGCATTAAGTCCAACACACGCAACCAACCGCTCCGGAACATGGAAGGCGATCCTCCTCCGCGCTCCCTTCCTCTCCTCCCTCCTCTTCGTCCACCTCCCGCAGGGGCATTCAAAACAGGGGCGCCGCTGCAGACGATGTCCACGGTGTAGAGGTGGTACCTGTGACCCGGCCGGAGAGCAAGGGGAGCGGCTGCCGCAGGCGGCGCTGCGAAGAGGCAGAGCTCCCTCTGTCTCTCCGCCGCCCCATGAGGGGGAAACCAAACCAGACTCAAGAGGTGGCCTTTGGCTACCGCCCACAACTCCTTGAAATCGTATACAGCATCTTGAACACGTATGTCATGGAATCGGGACGGAAAAAGAAATGTCCGTGAACCCGTGTTCGTACACTGGCGCCTTAGATGCAACAAAATACCGCGATCAAATTGCGGAGCCAGATCCCTGCAAACTCTAAAAACCATCCCCCCGACTCCACCGGGGGAGCCCTCGCCCCGGCGGCCGACCTGCAACCTCCCCCCAAAAAAAACAAATGGGGGAGGGGTGCCGTCTCCACTCTGGGCTTCGCGGCGCCCGTCCCCAGCTGGATGGGGTGGTGCGCCGGGGGCGCTTAACACTACCAGGTCCCCCGTGGGGGCGGGGAGATGGCTCTGACGAGAAGGGGTCGGGGTTGTGCGGCTCCCACCACACTTCGGGGCCGAGTCCCAGAAATGACCTCGGGCAGCCAGAAAAGTATCGAAGCAGTGTCGAACGAGTATCGTCTCCCAGAGACCGACGCGTGGAAGCCCTCCAGTTTCGGCGGTGCTTTCTTGGTGCTCGCAAGTCTTTCTGGTGAGTCAGGCTAAAGTCTAAAGCAGACTGGAACATCATGAGGTCAGGATGCCTCCTTCCCCGGGAGGCACTAAGGTGGGGTTGGGGCAGAGGTGGGGCTGGAGGGAAAATCACTCCGAGCGGCCCCTGGAAGAAGGAAACGCGTTAAACGGGAGCATCCAGCTGGGCCCGCTCCCCAGGCCCACCTTGGGATGACCCTCCCTCTACGAACCCTCGACCTTCATGGGCACGATTCAATCCTCTCTGGCCTGGTCAGGGTCCCACGTCCTTCCGAAACACCCCGCTGGCAAAGGATCCCCTCCCCCAGAAGGGGAGCAAACCCAGGCCAATTCAGCTGCGCGGGCAGCCGTGGAGCCAGGCCTGGGAACGCGACGACGGCGGAGGGCGTTTTGTTGTTCCGAAGAAAAAGAGCCCAGGCGCCGTCCGAGTCGGGGGATGTGGACTAGAGCAGACACACACGATACAACAATCCAACATATATAATATGCCACAACAGATCTGGGGGCACATTCGACGTCGACCGCTGAGGGTCCTGAGGTGCCCCAGAGCTGTTGCGGGTCCCTGTGGCCATCGGGGAATAATACATGTCATCGGGGCGCCTGTTGGCAGGCCGATGTCTTACTGAGCGTGCCTGCTGTAGGACACGTATGAAGAAAGGGTGGGGAGAGAGTGAGGCCAATATCAAAGACGTCCTGAGCATGCAACGCGATGGATCTGAGGGACCTCGACCCAAACTTGCTGACCGAAAGGAAACCGACGGCGTAAGTACGCAAATCCATATTTCCCCCGATTGGCCCCTCGATCCGTTAACTTCGAGCGCGCCCGTTGGACGGCGATGCTGTTGCCCCCGAGATTCTGAGCGTGCCAGCCAACCCACCCTCCTCAAAGAAAAAGCGGCTGCATGCAAAAAAACACACGCACTCAAAACATAATCCGTAGTATTAACTGACCATGTAGCAGACACAAGACAACAATATCATTTATTAAAGAAAAGCGGGCTTCTTACAAAGAGCCAACCATCTTCTCAGTAAGGACATGTCCCCCTTCACCCCCTGGCTGGTAAACCAATCGTACTACAATTGTGAGCGCATCATCGCCGCCATGAGTAACGCGCGCAATATTTCTGGTAACAACCAAGAATCTATGTAAGATCACGAGCGCGGTCGATTTACCACCGGCGGTTGAAATCAAAGTGCGGTCTCGGCGATTGCGCGCATCTGGCGAACTTGGCGCAGTGGCGCACTTGCCGAGCCTGAAACTCTGGGCGAAGCCAGCGAAATTGGCATACTTGGCGCATCATCATCAGCATCATCATCACCATCATCACCATCATCATCATCATCATCATCATTCTCATCATCATGATCATGATCATGATCATGATCATCATCATTCTCACTTCGGTGTCGCTGACATCCCTACCCGCAGAATCGCGCAGCCCACTGTCACATTCACCAAAAAAGCTCTATATACACCGAGGCTTTTTCTGGCCCTGCTTTGACACTTGCACAAGAAAACGGATCCTGGTGTATACGGGTTCATGGTGTATGCATGTTTGGTTGTTTCCCAGGGAACAGATAGAACAAGTACGCACCACACCACCCTGGCGTCGTCCCCGACCCTCAAAAGTCCTGGGGTAAGTCCTGGGGTCGAAAAGCTGCCCGCCACTAGTAATGTAGTTACGTGTTCCAACTTCCGAAAAATGGCGGCGGAAATCGAGACACGAGACGTGGCTGTGCCGCCTGGCATGTGGCCTCTACTCCTCGAACCGCAACGCCAGTTGCCACGCAGGCGTGTTCGGTTCGCCAAGCGTGCCAAGTTCGCCAGCTTCGCCAAGTGGTCTGTGCGCTAGGTTCGCCAAGTGCGCCAGGTTCGCCAGTTCCGCCAAGCGCGCGCCAAGTGCGCACGGGCGCCCACCGCTCGCGCACGGCGATTTCGCCATTCCGGAGTTCCAATAAGGATCGGTTTGAATGTATTGTCCGTCTACCGTCGCGAGTCGGGATTGCCTGCCGCGTCCTGCAGCTGTCCATGCGATAGGCGATACCGCGTGCTGACCGTCGGGATTGCCTGCCGTGGCTTACCCAAACATCCGGCTGCTCAATTTTTTTCGGTGCGTGGGCCCTGGGACCAGTTTTTCGTCCTGAGCCGTTTTTTGTGACGCTCCCGAGGCCCAGCGAGAGCCCCCAGAGGCCGCAAACGACCAAAAGCGTCGGATCTCAGGGTATATGTCCATGCGGGAGCGTGGAGGAGCCGTCGCCCGCGCGTGGACGCCACGGGGCCGCCAGAAACTGCCTGCCGTGGCCAGCGCCTGCCCAATGCGAGGGCGCGCAGCGACTGTCGGCCCTGCCGGCCGCGGCGAGCACTTGCCTGCGTGACGGCCAGAGCCCCCTCCACCTCCTCCTCCTCCTCCTCCTCCTCCTCCTCCTCCTCCTCCTCCTCGTCCTCATCTTCCTCCTCCTCCTCCTCCTCCTCCTCCTCCTCCTCCTCCTCCTCCTCCCTCCTCCTCCTCCTCCTCCTCCTCCTCCTCCTCCTCCTCCTCCTCTCCTCCTCCTCCTCCTCCTCCTCCTCTCTCCTCCCTCCTCCTCACTCCTCCACACTCCTCCTCCTTCCTTCCTCCTCCTCCTCCACATTCCTCTTCTTCCTCTCCTCCTCCTCCTCCTCCTCCTCCTCCTCCTCCTCCTCCTCCACACTCCTCCCCTTCTCCTCCTCCTCCTCCTCTCCTCCTCCTCCGCCTCCTTCTCCTCCTCATCCTCCTCCCCTCCTCCTGCCCCTCCTCCTCCCCCTCCTCCTCCTCCCCTCCTCCTCCTCCTCCCTCCTCCTCCTCCGCTCCTCTCCTCCTTCCGCTCCTCCTCCTCCTCTCCTCCTCCCTCCTCCTCCTCTCCTCTGCTCTCCCTCCTCCTCCCTCCTCCTCCTACCTCCTCCTCTCCTCTCTCCTCCTCCTCCTCCTCCTCCTCCTCCTCCTTCCGCCTCATCCTCGTCCTCCTCCTCCTCCTCCTCCTCCTCCTCCTCTCCTCCTCCTCCTCCTCCTCCTCCTCCTCCTCCTCCTCCTCCTCCTCCTCCTCACTCGCCCCATCACTGTTTAGCCGGGGCCAGCAGGGTCGCGGCGGCTGCAGATGCCTGTCCACAAGCAGCGCTGACCCTTGCGGGGTGGTGCATCCCGTACCCCACCATCTTGTCACTTATCGCTCGCATCGCTCGCCCCGTCGCACCCTATGTTTGGCGCATAGCTTGTATCGCTCGCAGTAAGAGTGCGCATTATATACAGTTCATCCTCTTCTCTAACGAGCGATGCGAGTGATGCTTGATAAACGCAGGAACGATGGGACGAGTGATGCGAGCGGCACGTGAAGAATAAGGCGCGGGTGGACTGCGACGCACCTGGCGCGCCTGGCGGCCCTGGCGCACCTGGCTGCACCTGGCGCGCAAGGGCTGCGCCTGGCTGCACCAGGCCATGACGCGGGCCGCTTCTCGCGGTCTGCGCGACGCGCATGCGGGCTGCGTGCACAAGAGATCCATGTTTTTTGTTGATGTCACCTTGCGACTGCTTGGGTAGGCCCCTCCCAGGCGGCTGTTCTACCTGCGTAGTTAGCTACCTCGTGGGCTAATGTGGCGTCCTTGGCGGCTGCCTCCCTTGCCCGTTGGCTGCCTGGCTGGCTGCCTCGTTGACTGCCTGGTCGACTGCGCCGTCGGCTGCCTGGAACAGTAGGCGAAACCCGCGCACCTGGCAAACGTGGCAAGGTCGAAACCTCCGGGATTGCCTGCGCGGCGCGCAGTCGTCCCTGCGAGGGTGTGAATGGGGTCGCGCGTGGACCTCTTCAGCCCGGCCGCGTCCATCGACCCATCGCGCGCACCGCTCCCCACTCCAGCGGCGTAGTACACGTGTTTTTGTTGAGTGACCGAAGGAAAACCGACGACGTACGCAAATCCATATCTTCTCCAAAGGCCCCTCGATCCGCCAACTCTGAACGCGCCCGTTGGACGGCAGTGCGGATCTCCCGAGACTCTGAACGCGCCAGCCAACCCACCCGCATCAAGAAAATTGGCTGCACGTGAAAGAACACTAAATTCTCATTAAGAGCAGACCACTTTGAAAATACAAGACGGACCGATCATTTGTTAAGGTAAAGCAGACTTTTTAGCAAGAGCCAAACATTCTCTTTGTCAGGAAACGTTTCCCATTCACCCCATGGCTGGTGAACCAATAGCACCAATGGTGAGTGCATCATCGCCGCCATGAATTACTCGCACAGGTGTTTCTCCCAAACCTCTTCTGATGTAAGATCGCGCACGCGGTCGACTTTCGGCGGACCACTTGTCCTTCTCCCCCTCTCCTACATGCTCGTCCCAGGCATCCTCGTTCCGTTCCATCCCTGCTGTCTCCTCCCTCCTGTCCCCTCCTCCTCCTCCTCTTCCTCCTCCTCGTCCTCCTCCTCCCCCTCCTCCTGCATGTTCGTCCCAAGCATCCTCGTTTCGCTCCTTCCCTTCTATCTCGTCCTTCCTGTCCCCTCCTCCTCCTCCTCCTCCTCCTCCTCCTCCTCCTCCTCCTCCTCCTCCTCCTCCTCCTCCTCCTCCTCCCTCCACCTCCTCGTCCCCTCCTCCTCCCTCCTCCTCCTCCCTCTCCATCCTCCTCCTCCTCTCTCCTCCTCCTCATCCTCCTCCTCCGCCTCCTCTCCTCTCCTCCTCCTTCTCCTCCTCCCTCCTCCTCCTCCTCCTCCTCCCTCCTCCTCTCCTCCTCCTCCTCCTCCTCCCCTCCTCCCTCCTCCTCCTCCTCCCTCCTCCTCCTCCTCCTCCTCCTCCTCCTCCTCCCTCCTCCTCCTCCTCCTCCTCCCTCCTCCTCCTCCTCCTCTCTCTCCTCCTCCTCCTCCTCCTCCTCCTCCTCCTCCTTACCCCCCACCTCGCCGCGGAGGCCCGCACCACGGGGGGCGTGTAATGAGAGCAGCGGCGAGAGGAGGCCGGCGCCGTGGAGAAAGAGGGTATACAGCCAACGCGGCCCGTGCCAGCGACAGAGCCTGCGAGGCCAATAGGAGGAGGAGGAGGAGGAGGAGGAGGAGGATGAGGAGAGGAGGAGGAGGAGGAGGAGCAGGAGCAGGAGCAGGAGGAGGAGGAGGAGGAGGAGGAGAGACGAGGAGGGAGGAGGAGGAGGAGGAGCGGGAGGAGGAGGAGGAGGAGGAAGGAGCGGAGGAGGAGGAGAGTGTGGAGGAAGAGTGGAGGAGGAGGAGGAGGAGGAGGAGGAGGAGTGAGGAGGAGGAGGAGGAGGAGACAGGAGAAGGAGAGGAGGAGGAGGAGGAGGAGAGGAGAGGAGGAGGAGGAGAGAGGGAGGAGGAGTGTTGGGGGAGGAGGAGGAGGTAGAGGAGGAGGAGGAGGAGGAGGAGGAGGAGGCGCGGAGGAGGAGGAGGAGGAGGAGAGAGGGAGGAGAGGGTAGGAGGAAGGGGAGGAGGAGGAGGGAGGAGGAGAGAGGAGGAAGGAGGAGGAGGAGAGGAGGAGGGCGGAGGAGGAGGAGGAAGAAGGAGAGGAGAGGAGGAGGAGGAGGAGGAGGAGGAGGAGGAGGAGGAGGCGGAGGAGGAGGAGGGGGAGGAGGAGGAGGAGGAGGAGGAGAGAGGAGTGTGGAGGAGAGGAGTGTGGAGGAGGAGTAGGAGGAGAGGAGGAGGAGGAGGAGGAGGAGGAGGAGGAGGGAGACTGAGGATGGAGGCGGAGGGTGAGGAGGAGGAGGAGGAGGAGGAGGAGGAGGAGGAGGGGAGGAGGAGGCGGAGGAGGAGGAGGAGGAGGAGAGGAGGAGGGAGAGGAGAGGGGAGGAGGAGGAGGAGGAGGAGGAGGAGGAGGAGGAGGAGGAGGAGGAGCGAGGAGGAGGAGTGAGGAGAGGAGGAGGTGGAGGAGGAGAAGGAGGTGAGGAGGCGAACATAGGAGGGGGGGCCTCGGATGCAGCTCCATGCTACATGCTGTCCTTCGCCTCCCCGGTGCTACTTCAATGTGCTGCAGTACCTCGCTCTACTTTGCTTGCCGTGTTTCTGTGCTGCCGTGCCCACCCTGTGGACTACAACCCAGAGAACTACCCAGATGGGGATGGGGGCGCATGGTCATGAGCCCAGGGTAGCTCTTGGACGTCTCGATCTCTATGGTGTGCTCGATGAAATCCTGGGGGGAACACACGGCAAACACGGTGTGTTTCCCGGGCAGGGTGTCGCAGGTCGGGTGAACAATCACGGGCAAACCAGCAGCAAAGCCGGGCCATGAGGAGCCGACACGCTCGCTGGGCTCCTCCTCCTCCTCCTCCTCCGCCTCCTCCTCCTCCTCCTCTTTGTCGACCTCCTCCTCCTCCTCCTCCTCCTCCTCCTCCTCTTCCTCTTCCTCCTCGTCGACCTCCTCCTCCTCCTCCTCCTCCTCCTCCTCGTCGACATTCTCCTCGTCCCTCTCCATTGTCCTGTTCTCGCTCCTCCTCCTCCTCCTCCTCCTCCTCCTCCTCCTCCTCCTCCTCCTCCTCCTCCTCCTCCTCCTCCTCCTCCTCCTCCTCCTCCTCCTCCCTCCTCCTCCTCCTCCTCCCCTTGTGCGTGATCCTGCTGCCTCCGTTCCCCCCCGCCCTCTCTACCCCTCCTCCTTCCCCTCCTCCTCCTCCTCCTCCTCCCCTCCTCCTCCTGCTCCTGCCTCCTCCTCCTCTCCTCCCCCCCTCCTGCGTCTCTCCTCCTCCTCCTCCTCCTCCTCCTCCTCCTCCTCCTGCATCTCCTCATCCTCTTCCTCCTCTTCCTCCTCCTCATGCGTCTCCTCCTCCTCCTCCTGCTCCTGCTCCTTCCTCCCTCTGTCTTTGCCTTGAGGTTCCCCGCCTCCTTTCCCTGTATGCTCTCACTCTCCACCCTGGCGACCTGATAGTAACACCGCGAATGTAGGCCCCCCTCCCTGCCCATCAACAAAAGCAAAGTCAAAAGCTCCCTTTTTAGGCGACGCGCACAAGGGGGTTAGGGGGAGGGGAACTGGCTCTTAGAAAGAGGTTGCCTCTTAAAGGTGCGGGACCTACACCTACAGACAAGGCTCACGACTTCTAAGAGGTAGCCTCCTTCTGAGAAGCCTCGCCCCCTCCCCCTGACCCCCTTTTCTGCGTGCGGCCGAACAAAAGCAGAGGTCAACAGCTCCCTGTTAACGTGGACGTGTTGACGCCAAGACTGCAAGATGCGCGGCGGGAGTGGGGCGGGGTATGGTAGGGTGCACGTTGCGTGCGAAATGCTGAAGTACGTCTCGCTCTCGCCACGGCGCCGCGCAGACTGCTCCACCGAGTAGCGTTCCAGCTCAGGCGCAGCGACATCTTCCTTTCGCTCGCCACAGGTGGTCGGAAGCGGGGCCGGCCTTGCGCGTGAGCCCCTACATAAGGTCGTGGTCGTCTCGGTGCCGCGCACATGTGTCCCAAGAGAGCCTCACTCCCGCCTGGGCGCGGTAATTAAGCGTCTCTTCGTTGATGGGGCATTCTCTCTCCGACAGCGCGCTGCGCTTTAACCCGCTGCGTGGTCGAACCGTCACGTCACACTCGTTTCGCGTGGCTGGCCAGCGTCACAAGGCCCTGAACCTTTCAGGTCCCGAAACGGTGACAGAGCTACGAACGCATATCACAGTCCCATCCCGCCACCATCACCAGCCTGTGTCACTCCCGTGGGAGCCTCACCATTCCTGTGCGTGCTTGCTGTACGTAGTGAACGGCAGGGCCCGCCACCGTGCCCTGGCACGTACGGCCAGGCCTAGGACAGAAAAACATCCGTCAAAAACATGAGACCCTCCTCCGGTCGAACTGAAGAACACTCGAGGGTAATTACCCCCCCAGGATGTACAAGAACAACCAACAAGCACGAAGAAAATGAGGACACCCCTCCCGAGCCGCCCTCGATCTTATACCTGGGTCCTACCGTACCGCACTAATGATCAGCATGGTCACCCCCCAAGGATGCAGAAGCACATCCAACGAACACGAAGAATATTGGGGTGCCCTCCCCGAGCCGCCCTCGATCGTATGCCTCGGTCCGACCGGACCTCACTGATGATCAGAGCTGTCAAAGAAAACACCCTGGCCCCGCATCTCTGGGCTGCCTCGAAGCGCTCTCCCGGCGACCTCGGGGTGCTGCGCGCGCGAGGCCCCGCCCCGGAAGCGCTGCTCGGACCCCGAGCCTTCGGATCATCGCTGCATGGGGGACCGCCGACCCTTCGGCGTATGTGAGACGCTTTTCCTTGGAGTCGTCGTCGTCGTCGTCGTCGTCGTCGTCGTCGTCGTCGTCGTCGTCGTCGTCGTCCCGCTCCCCCCCTCTCCCTGGGCCCTCCTTCTCAACAACCGATCCAGCCAAACGGAAACAAAAGAACATCCTAATTGATTCGAGGGAAGCCCTTCCCTTTAATCCCTTCCCTGCGGGGGGGGTTGGGAGGGCGTCCCAGGGGGGCGGGGTCCGGGGGGGGGAGGCCAGGGAGGGTCCCCAAAGGGGGTCCCAGAGGGGGCCCTGGGTCCTGGGGTCCCGGGGAGGGGTCCCAGGGAGAGCGTTTTTATATACGCGGCCATAACGGACGATATGGGGGGGGCGGGGGGGGCATAATACCGTAACGCCCCCCCCCCCGCCGTGTGGTTCTGGCACCACAGCGCCTGTACGCATCACAGCAAGCACCACGGTGCGCAGCGCAGTTTGTACAGCCGCAGCCGCGTGCAACACAGCGCCTGTGTACTGCGCAGTGCGCACGTGCAACACCACAATGTTTTTTCCCCCACGCCCTCCTTGGGGCCTTATTATGTGCTTGTGTTTGCTGAATGACGAGGGCGCCCGAGCGCCGGACGACGACGGCGACGGCGACGGCGACGGCGACGGCGACGGCGACGGCGACGGCGACGACGACGACGACGACGACGACGAGGACGACGATAACAACGAAAACGATAATGACGAGCTCGACGACGACGACGACGAGGACGAGGACGGGGACGACGACGACGGACGCCTCTGAAGGTCACCGGAGGTCTCCGGAGGCCTCAGGAAGTTTCTGGAGACCTCTGGAGGCGTCTGAAGCCCATTCGAGGCCCTCAGCGACGAACACGAGGACGAGGACGACGGCGGCGACGAGGAGGAGGAGGAGGAGGAGGAGGAGGAGGAGGAATAGGACGACGACGACAGGGACGAGACGAGGACGGGGACAAGAACGAGGACGACGATGACGACGGGGACGAGGACGAGGACAAGGACGAGGACGACGGTCGCCTCTGAAGGTCTCCAGAGGTATCTGGAGGCCTAAAGAGGTCTCTGGAGATTTCTGGAGGCGTCTGGAGGCTATTCGAAGCCCTGGGAGACGACGACAGCGACGACGACGGACGCGGACGATAACTGGACGACGACGCGGACGCGGACGCGAACGCGGACGCGGACGCGGACGCGGACACCGACGACGAGGACGAGGACGAGGACGCCAACGGCGACGACGACGACGACGACGACGGCGGCGTCGACGACGACGAGGAGGACGACGACGAGGACGACGACGACGGCCGCCTCTGAAGGTCACCGGAGGTCTCTGGAGGCCTAAGGAGGTATCCGGAGACCTCCGGAGGCGTCTGGAGGTCCTTCGAGGCCCTCGGCGGCGACGACGACGACCACGACGAGGACAACGACCGCCACCAGGACGAGGAGGACGAAGACGACGACGACAGGGACGACGACGATGACGACAAGGACGACGACGACGATGACGAAGACTAAAGCGATGACCACGACGAGGACGGCGATGACGACGACGACGACGACGGCAACAACGACGACGACGACATCGACGACGACGAAGACGACGACGACGACGGAAGGACGGGGAGGACGGGGAGGACGGGGACGACGACGGCCACGACGACGACCACGCTGACGACGAAGACGACGACGACGACGATGACGACGACGACGACGACGACGGCTGCGTCTGAAGGGCTACAAAGGCTTCCCGAGGTCTCAGGAGATCTCCAGGGGCCTCTGGAAGCGTCAGCAGGTCCTGCAAAGCCCTCGGACACGACGACCAGGGTAAAGTAGCCTGCGCGCACCACAGCAGCCTGCGAGCATCACAATGGCAGTGCTGGAGGCGCACATCGGTGGAGAGGGGGGGGGTAAGTTATGGGGGGGGAGGGGGAGCGTAACGCGCGTTAAGGCCCAGAGGCTTCAAGCCTGGTGTCTCCAGACCGTCAGCGACGTCGTCTTCGCTTTAAGGCTCCCCGACCCCCCAGAATATTTTTGAAGCCTCTGGGCCATAACGCGCGTTACGCCCCCCCCACCCACCCCTATGAAATGACGCTCCCCCCAAGGCCCCCGTTGCGCGCCTCCGACACTGCCGTGGGATGCTCGCAAGCTGCTGTGGTGCTTGCAGGCTACTTTACCCCTCGTTGTTGCGTCCGAGGGCCTCGGGACTGCGGACGCTTCCAGAGGCATCCGGAGATCTCCTGACACTTCGGGGGGCCTCTGTAGACCTTCAGAGGCGGCCGTCGTCGTCGTCGTCGTCGTCGTCGTCGTCGTCGTCGTCGTCGTCGTCGTCGTCGTCGTCGTCGTCGTCATCGTCGCCACCGCCGCCGCCGTCGCCGTCGTCGTCGTCGTCGTCGATGTCGTCGTCGTCATCGTCGTCGTCGTCGTCGTCGTCAACGTCGTCGTCCCCCTTCAGGGTCGGCGGCACCGGCCGTAAGGCCTTGCCGATACTTAGTAAATTATTGCACTGTGGATGTGTACGGTCAGGAACTTCTGATTAGCGTGACGCAGCGGCGGCCCTGGCGACACGCTCTGCCGTGCAAGCGGGTAGCGTGTCGCTCCGCTCCGCGGGGTGGAATGCTGGAAAAGCTCGGGACGTTGACGCCTGGGGACTGGGAAGCGGATAGCGTGTCGCGCCGAAGCGTGGTGGGCCAGAACCGGCGGAGCGACACGCCAAACCTAAGTTCAAGACCGAGAGCTATGTGGTGAGAGCACTGTCGTGCAAGCCATGTGGTGCAATATTTGTGGTACAAGCTAGAGACCCTGGGAACTCTACCCCACAAAACTGAACAATCAAATACAGGCCAGTGCTCTTGTGGCTCAGCTTGTCCTTGCAGTTCCGGCATTACTCGCGTATCATACGGCCCGCGAGGCTTGTCCTCCACCTCCTCCCCCTTCCCAATGTTACGCCTCACATGCCTGCGGGGGAAGGGTCCAATGAAAGGGACGGGCAAGAAAAGCCTCGGCCGCCTCCATCCAAGGAGGTTTTTTGGTCACTCTGAGCGGAGGATCCGTCCCCCCGCCTGGGACCAGCGACAGGGGGCGGCCCGGGCATCTCCGATCACTCAGGCCAAGCCTTGAGATCTGAGGGCAGCTTCCCCGAAGACAAACAGGTCACCACATTCTTCCCACGGGCCGTGCTCCGCCATCTCCTTGTCATCCTCGTCGTCGACGTCCTCCTCCACCCTTCCTCCTCTTCTTCTTCCTCCTCTCTCTCCTCCTGCTCCTCCTCCCTCGTCGACGTCCTCATCAACCCCTTCTTCCTCTTCTTCCTCTTCCTCTTCTTCTTCATCATCATCATCGTCATCATCATCACCAGCTTCATCATCATCATCATCATCATCATCATCATCATCATCAGCATCATCATCATAAACATCATAATAATAATCAGCATCACCATCATAATCATCATTATCAGCATCAGCATCAGCATCAGCATCATCATCATCATCATCGTCATCATCGTCATCGTCATCATCATCATCATCATCATCATCATCATCATCATCATCATCATCATCATCATCATCATCATCATCATCATCTATCCTCTGCTCCCTCGTCGACATCCTCCTCCAACCCTTCCTCCTCTTTGCCGCCCTCCTCCCTCTCCTCCCTCTCCTCTTCTTCTTCCTCATCTCTACTCCTGCTCCTCCTCCCTCATCGACGTCCTCCTCCACCCCTTCCTCCTCTTCTTCATCATCATCACCATCATAATTATCAGCATAAGAATCATCATCAGCATCATCGTCAGCGTCATCATCATCATCATCATCATCATCATCATCATCATCATCATCATCATCGGCATCAGCATCATCGTCATCATCATCATCCTCATCTTCCTCATCATCTTCATCTTTTTTATTTATCATCACCCTCATCATCATCATCATCATCATCATCATCACCATCATCATCATCATCATCATCATCATCATCATCATCATCATCATCATCATCATCATCATCATCATCATCATCTATCCCCTGATCCTCCTCCCTCGTCGACGTCCTCCTCCAACCCTTCCTCCGCTTCGCCACCCTCCTCCCTCTCCTCCGTCTCCTCTTCCTCCTCATCGTCCTCCCCCTCCTCTTCCTTGTACTCCTCCTCCTCCTCCTCCTCCTCCTCCTCCTCCTCCTCCTCATCCTCCTCCTCCTCCTAGCGAGGAGGGAAGAGGGAGGCGCCCGCCTCCTCCTCCTCCATCCCATACCCTCTCTTTTCCTGCAGCAGTTGCCTCCTCCCGCTTCCTCCTCCTCCTCCTCCTCCTCCTTCTCCTCCTCCTCCTCTTCCTCCTCCAACGTTCTCCTCCTCCTCCTCATCCTGCTCCCTCATCCTGCTCCCTCATCCCTCCCCTCCCACTCCCTCTCGTGTCTCCTCCTCCTCCTCCTCCTCCTCCGCCTCACCCCCTCGCATGGCTGGTCCCTGTTGGTCCTCGCCGACGACCTGTAGCGGGCACTTGTAGTCTGGATCGTACGCAGGTGGCGGCTTGCCGGTGAGGACCTTCACCTGGCCCGCCCGCTCAATATGAACAAAAGGTACCTTTCTATCAGAAACCTCGTCGGACAAAAACGGAAGCGCAGATGTTGTCCAGTGGCTCGTGGGGGGAATAGAAGGAAAAGGACGGAGACGACAAGGCGGCGGATGACGAGGATGACAGCGTGGATGACGGGGGGGGAACAGCGATCGGAGAAGGAGGACAACGAGTAGGAAGACAAGCACAAGGACGAGGAGGAAGAGATAAAGGAGGACGAGTACGATGAGGAACGAAGCGGAGGAGGAGGAGGAGGACGACGACGACGGAGAACGGTAAGGAACCCGAGATAAAGGACGTCGAAGAACGGGGGGGGTCCTCGTGATCTTTCTAAGCCACCCTTGGGGCTTTTAGGGGCCATCTGGTGCTGCCTTGGGGCATCCTGGGGGCATCCTTGGGGGCCTGGGTGGGTTCTCCTGGGGGCGCTTGGGGTCTTCTTGGGTTGTCTGGGCGTGTCTTAGGGCTCTGTGGGGGCTCTCTCAGGCCGTCTTGGCGCCATCTTTTTTAAGGGGCACGGATCATATGATTTGAAGCACGCTGCCGTCACTTGACGTTGGGAAATTGAATATGGAGAACTGATGTCCACTTATTCTTGTGCCAAACGGACACGAACGCACAACAGCATCCTTCAAACACCTAAGGCAACTCAATGATTTCTACTTTCTCGCCTTTTCGCTTCCGATGGCCTTCCGAGGCCTCAAGGCAGCTCCATGAGGGGCCCCTGAGGGCCCAACAAGAAGCTCAAGAGAGCCCCAAGACGGCCCCCAAGAGCGCTCCAAGAGCGCCCCAAGAAGGACCCAAAAAGCGATGTATGGAGCTCCCGAGGGGGAAACGTAATTGGAGCTCCCATTTGTTTGATCGATGCAAGATGGCCCCAAGAGCACCCCCAAGGCTCCCAAGAGCGCTTCAAGAGAGCCCCAAGAGGCGCCCAGGAGGCCCCGAGAGGCGCCCAAGAAGCCTCCAAGAAGCTCCCAAAAGACCCCCAAGAGGCTCCCCGAGGCACCCAAGACGCTCCAAGAGGCCCCCGGGACCGCCACGAGGTCCCCGAAACGCTCCAAGAGGCCTCCAAAAAGCTTCCAGGGGACGTCCGAGGAGACGAGGAGACTCTGAGAGGCAACTCGCCTGGGCATCGTTTCTGGATGAGCTGGCGGGGATGCGCGAAGGCGTCAAGAGTTCGGTGGATTTCGCTCGCGATCTCAGCACCTCCATGTATTCGAGGATGTCCCGAACGAGAGCCTTCTTTTCAACAGAAAACGTCTCACAAACGACTCTTGCAACACCTTATTGTTCGAGGACGTTTCGAGCGAAAAGCGGAGTTCTGATCACAACGTCTCTATGTTCCGAGGGTGTCTCGAGCGAGGGCCTCGTGTTTGACAGAACGTGCGTTACAAGCAGCCCTTCCAACACCTATTTGTTCGAAGACACCCCGAACGAAACGGCCGAAACAGAAGGAACCTTTGCGGACAAGAACGGGAAGCGCCGCTTCTCTGAGCTTGCGTGCGCATGGAGTTGCACCAAACACGCATGTGTGCGCATGGGGTGCAATCGCTGGGATCCCCTGCGTGCCCAGGTGGTTCCCATCGGTAGCTTATGTTTAGTGGTTGCCTGCGCTTGCTTTGGTCATATGTTACGCGTGGCCTGTGCACGTATGTGCGTGCGCGTGTGCGTGTGCCTGTGTGTCTGTGTGTGCCTGTGTGTGCGTGTGTGCAGCTGTGTGCAGGGTGTGTGTCGGGCAGGCGGGACGGGGGGGCGGGGTGTGCTCTGGGGGGGACGGGCGGGGGGGTGTACGGTGGGCGTGCGGGGTGCGTTCTGGGGGCGACGGACGGAGGGGATGTACGGCGGACGTGTGGGATGTGTTCTGGGGGGGACTGGCGGGGGGACGTTCGGCATGAGTATGGTCTGAGCGTGGTCTACGTCTCTACATGGCCATTTGCGTGCTGGGGATGTGTCATGTGTTCTGCATGTTTTCTATTTTGAAAAACGCTAACTATAAGTTTGATGCTGTTTTCCCACGAAGCAGGTGTCCATACTGGACGCGCGAAGCCGAAGCCATCGTTCCTGTACACTGTACACGGCTGGCCCCCGTGACGTCCTGTCACACATGACTAGGTCATACGAAAGTCGAACATGCGATCGAAGTCGTCACCGTTGAGGTCGACAACGGAATGAGGGACGAACCCATCTCTCGCTCTCGAACGCCTGTTGCGTGAGGCTATCCTGCGAGCACCCTTCAAAGCAATGTGCCTCAAGCGTCTCTGCTGGCGGCAGTGTTGCTTCTGACGACCCGCCGCTATTGACTCCTTAAACGACGCAGGCGATTCACAAATGTCCCCTGGTGTCACCACTGCGGTGCCATTGTGAAATAAGTCCTTCTTGAATGTTGGAGTGGACCTAGAAGCGCACTGCCAAGGGGACTGCACATGTCTTACCAAGTTGACTGAGCGGCGAAGATCCGAGAGTTGCTCTGCCTGTGCATAGTGCCAGATCCAAGAACTCTTCTTGGAAGCGGCCAGTAAGACAGCGCGGTTTGTGAGTAGCTGAACCGGAATGAATTTGAAAAACTTGCAGAGGTCTGCGGGTCTCTCGAGGCCCTCAATCACAGCAAGGACAAAATCCTCGTCGACAGAGAAGTCTTCAGGGATAAGATATATCGAGGAAGCGTCCATCTGGATAACAGCGCGAACAAAATCACGATCTGACCAGAGCGCTGGTGTAAGAACACGTGTCAAAATGAACGAGGGCTGGCTTGAAGCTGGCCTTTTCTGGTAACTTGTTTCGATAGCTTTAAGGACGAACTCTGGATCCGAGCGCAACTCGTCTGATGCATATTTGAGGAACGTGGCGCACACTCCTTCATCCAATAAGTAATTTGCGAAATTCCGATCCGCTCGCAGATCATCAGACGCATGTCGAAAACAATCTCTATCCCTTCTGCACGCAGCGAAAATCACTTCGGGCCTTGCGCGTATGTAGTCAGGCGCAGCCTGCAATATTTTTCCAATGTCACTAAAATCTGCATCACTCAGTCGTTGAATCCAGGCTACCTCCTCTGCATCACGCCTAACACAAGTGAGCTCCCCACAAGAATTTGCAAGAAATGAGATGACCTGCTCGTAATCTCGAAGCACCCGTCCTTCAGACAGCAGGCACAATTCTTTCGCAGGTATACGAGCAGACGCTTCAATCCTACGTTTCAGCTCACACACGCTCGTGGCAATCTTCACCTTGACCGCACACAGCCGACCAGAAAGAGCATTGATGAACACTGTGTGGCTCATGGCGAGTACACTGGCAAATGCCAACGCCGCGGAGCACCGAAAGAAAGGACAGGTCGTTCAGTTACAGTATGTGCGGCGAACTCCCTTGAGCCAGGTGTATTCGTCGTGTGGCAGTCAACGATGGCAATGACAATGACGACGATGATGGCGATGGCGATGCTGCTGATAATGTCCACGATGGTGACGATGACGATGATGCTGCATCTGATGCAGCATCATGGTCATCGTCATCGTCATCGTCATCATCATCATCATCATCATCATCATCATCATCATCATCATCATCATCATCATCATCATCATCATCACCATCACCATCACCATAACCATCACCACCATCACCATCATCATCATCAGCAGCATGAGCACCAGCATCAGCATCAGCATCTGCATCAGCATCTTCATCAGCATCTGCATCAGCAGCATCATCATCATCATCATCAGCATCAGCATCAGGATCATCAGGATCATCAGGATCATCAGGATCATCAGGATCATCAGGATCATCAGGATCATCAGGATCATCAGGATCATCAGGATCATCAGGATCATCAGGATCATCAGGATCATCAGGATCATCAGGATCATCAGGATCATCATCATCATCATCATCATCATCATCATCATCATCATCATCATCATCATCATCATCATCATCATCGTGAGCGCCATCATGCTTCTTGGGGTGTGCTTTGGCGCTCTTGGGGTCCCCTGGGGCGCCTATTGGAGCTGTCTTCGGCCATTTTGGAGCCCTCCAAGAGCGTTCCAAACAAAGCAGCAAGTAGAGCGCACTCGACATCTCGATGTTCCGAGGATGTCTCGAGCGAAATCGTTCTGGTCGAGCCTCGACGTCTCAAAACAAGCTCTTCGAACGGTTCTTGGTTCGAGAATGTTTCGAACGAAACGGCCATTTCCGAATATTCGAACTATTTCGCGACCCGTGTCCGCATCTCATGCTTCGGAGATTGTCTCGAGCGAGAGCCCCAGTGTTCACATAAGACGGATTGAAGCTACTCTTTCGAGATCCTCGGCTTTTCGAGGATGTCTCGAGCGAAACGCCAATTGTCGGGGTAACCTGACCGCTTCAACCTGTCCTGCTTGGGCTTAGTGGTTGCCTGTGATTGCTGTGGTCAGCTGCACCGCGTGGCCTCTGTACGGGTGCGTGCGTATGTGCGTGTATGCCTGTGTGCGTATATGCCTGTGCGTGTGTGTGTGTGTATGTGTGCCTGTGCGTGCGACTGTGTGTGCGGCCGCATAAACGCGTGCATGCAGGGGGCGCAACGCCAACCTGTGTACCTTAATCCACCTGGCCCTTTTAAACGGCCTCGCCGTTCTAATGCGGATGGCTCTGCTAACCCAAAATAGAGCTGTTTCAGAGTTCGCTCCAAAATCGAGGATTCCGAGGATGTCTCAAGCGAAACGCCCGTTTTCATTGGTTCAGGGTCCCCTCAGAAATCGATGATTGAAGGATGTCTCGAACAAGACCGTCATGCTTCAAGATTCTTGCGACTTCGCCAGCGATTTTCACATCTCCATTTTACGACGATCTCCCGAGCGAGAGCCTCATGTTCGACACACGGCGTCTTTAAACAACTCTTCCACAAGGCCCGAGCACAACGATGTTTAAAACGCGTTGGCGTCTGGAACGAAACCCGAAACGAACCCGACCGTTGTACAACGAACTTTTAAAACGAACC